GGAAAGTGCAGCAACTGTGGTTGCTGTGTCATTGTACACAGCTGATCATGTGGTAAAAGGTCGCTGTGATTGGCCTTTTACCTCATCATGTGATCAGCTGTGTCCGTAGGACACAGCGATCACGGAGATCGCCGGGTGTGCGCTGCTGGAGGCACGTTTTGGGAGGATATCATATGACGCCCTCCCAGAACTGGACAAAAGCGCTATAGCTGTCATTCGCCTATAGCACTTTTGGCAAGTGGTTAAAGCAGTAGTAAAGCTTTAAAAAAAAAAAAAAATGTAATAATAAAAAAAAATATATATATATAATATACACACACACACCCTCACCTGCCACTTTAATAGGTACACCTTGCTAATACCAAGACAATATCCCCCACACCATTACACCACCAGCCTGGACCGTTGATACAAGGCAAGATGGATCTTAGAGATCTGGGGGAGGCTGAGTGCCCAGCACAGCTGAGAAACTGACCATGCTGTGCTATCATGCCTAGTGTGATCAAGTTTTAATTGGCAAGCAGACTGGCAGGAATTCATATCAGATAAGTAATACAAAAAGAGAACAGGATCCTTTTTCATACAAGTACATGCTATAGCAGGCATCCAAATTAACGATTTATGTTAAACTAAAACACTTCAAACGTAAGGGAGAGGTGCTTCAAATAAGTTGAAATATGCTTTAATTCATGCGTCCAAAAGTATGAAACTGGTTCATCAGGTCTGTCATGCTCTTTTCTGTTTTTCTTCTATATGACAATTCCATGTATAGTTCACTTGTGACACCTGCCAATCATGTAACTTACACTTACACTGACATTCCACATTATGAATGTAGATCAACCACGGAGACATCCAGTGAAGGTTTAACGCGATTCAGATTTTTAATTTTTAATTTGTGTTTCATTTTGTATTTTACAAATAGTCCAATTTTCGCTTACGGTTATGCTCTTTTTTTTCACATCATAAATGTATCACAATCCTACACTGAATAATGGAAACATGTATAGTACAACATGTTATTTCATGTAATTTTTACAATATTCCTTTCCTGTGATATGTTACACAGTGTGGTTGGTTTTTAGAGATCATGTTCACTTTTTTTGTGATTTTTCAATTTTTATTTTTATCTTAGTGAATGGGGTGAAACAAAGTGAAAAATGAAAAATTGTATTATATACTTACCATAATTTTCCTTTCCGGGTGCTAATTCATGGCAGCATACATGTGTTAGTTAGTATTCTGCCATGTAGGTGCCAGAAAAACGAAAAATTGTATCAAATACTTATACTTATCAATCAGCACAAAACTAACCATATAAATCCCACTCTTAAAGAAAAGTCACTCACTTCCACCCTCGAAAGTTAATCAAAATATATAAACACCTTTTCTTATACAAATACTAAATCAAATACCCATACAAAATATCCCCAATGTCCTAAATCACAGTATGTAATTCCATATAATAAAGTCTTTTTTTCTTCTTTCAAAATTAATCTCTCTCTTAATTCGTGAAGTTTCCAATGATCATATACCTCGAAAAAACAAACTCAAAATAGTGTCATACCCTTTATAAAATTTGATTTAATATTTGTATAAGAAAAGGTGTTTATATATGTTTCAAATACTTATCGTAATTCTTCTTTCCTGGTGCCAGTCCTTGGCAGCATACTAACCACATGTATGCTTCCATGTTGGCACTAGGAAATCTAAATAAATTATTTTTGCTAGCACATGATTGGTTGATGGACGTTAGCACAGCTTCACTGCATTCACTAAATTAAGTGTATTTTCTCTTTGCAAAGGAAATTTTCTTACTGCAGAGTTCCCCAACCATTTTGGTCCTGAGGAATCCATGAAATAATTTTTAAGGTCTCGGGGAACCCTTGCTAAAAATTATATCTATTAAGATCAATAAGTTATAGATATAAGAATAAAAACTGTGGAAGAGCTGGAGTATGTGACAGTAAAGGAGGATAATTGTGAAATATCTCCTGCACTATATAAAATCATGTTTGTAAAAATCACAGAATGAAAATGAAAAATCATAATAATGTCCCAAAAAAAAAACCACACAGAGTTCCTTACATTGGTGGTCAATGAAAAAATGCTTACATTGGTGGTTGCTATGGTATTGCCTCTTTTTATTGATGGAGATATGGAAATGCTTCCTTACATTGGTGGTCGATATAGAAGTGCCTTCTTATATTGGTGGTCTTTATGGAAATGCTTCCTTACATTGGTGGTCCCTATGGAACTGCCTCCTTATATTGTTGGTTGGTATGGAAATGCTTCCTTACATTAGTGGTCGTATGGAACTGCCTCCTTATATTGTTGGTTGGTATGTAAATGCTTCCTTACATTAGTGGTCGGTATGGAAATGCCTCCTTATATTGGTGGTCCCTATGGAACTGCCTCCTTATATTGTTGGTTGGTATGGAAATGCTTCCTTACATTTGCGGTCTGTATGGAAATGCCTCTTTATTTTGGTGGTCTGTATGGAAATGCCTCCTTATTTTTGGTATGGTCCTCCTTATGGATGGAACTGCCTCCTTATATTGTTGGTTGGTATGGAAATGCTTCCTTACATTAGTGGTCGGTATGGAAATGCCTCTTTATATTGGTGGTCGCTATGGACTTGCCTCCTTATTGTGGTGGTCTGTATGCTTCCTTACATTGGTGGTTGCTATGGACTGGCCTCCTTATATTGTTGGTTGGCAGTGATGGGCTGAACATCCCCCTGTTAGGTTTACGGTCAAATGTTCAAACCTACCAAAAGTTCGACCGTGAACCTCGAACAGGGACAATGTACTGAGCGGTATCTTACCGCATCTGAGTATGTGGTAAGATACCGCTCAGTTACTAAGGCTAGGTTCACACCTATGTAGTTGGCATTTGATCCGTTTCTGCAGTGAGTTTTGCATTGCATTTTTGCACATGTGTTTCTGATGTGTTTTTGCCGCTTTTTGTATGCGTTTATTTCCTTGTTGCTAGGCAGATTTAAAACGCAGCAAAAACATAGCAAAAACACACCACATGCTTTTCTGTAGCATTTACATTGAAGTCTATAGATCCAAAAATGCAACTTTTTGCGTTCCAAAAAATCCCTAATAGTTTCCAAAAAATGCACCGGGTGAAAACTTGGAGATGTGACCGTGTCCCATAGGAAATCATGTTAAATTGACTGTAGTCCATTTCTGCAAAACCCATAACACTGCGGAAAACGCTTAGGTGTGAACCTAGGGTAAAATACCGCATGAGTTTTATTATTAAATCATGCGGTATATTAGTAGTGACACAGTCATTCACAGCTGAATGTCAAAAGAATTGTCGGCATTGCCCGACAATTAAAAACATTTTTAAAAAAATGGCATGGGTTCCCCCCTCCCATCCATACCAAGCCCTTTGGGTCTGGTACAGATTATGAGGGGAACCCCCATGCCAGAATGTAAAAAAAAAATGGCATGGGTTCCCTACCCATGGACTTGCCTCCTACCCAAAATCCATAAAAGACCCTTATCAGAGCATGCAGCCCGGCAGGTCAGGAAAGGGGGGGGGGGATCACCCACACCCCCTTGTGACGTCAATATACCATGTGATTGGCCAAATTGTGATTGGTGCAATGCTTTGGCCAATTACAGTGCATTGTCAGGGCACAGTGCAGTGTGGGGTGCAGTGGGCGGATAGCCCACCGAACGCCCATACCGTTCGTGTGTTCAGAAAACACATGAACAGCCCATGCTCAAGTCGAACTTACGGTCGACTCGAACATGCAACCCATCTTTATTGGTCGGTATGGATGTGCTTCCTTACATTGGTGGTCGGTATGGAAATGCCTCCTTAAATTGGTGGTCGGTATGGAAATGCCTCCTTAAAATTGGTGGTCGGTATGGAAATGCCTGCTTAAATTGGTGGTCGGTATGGAAATGCCTCTTTACATTGGTGGTCGGTATGGAAATGTTTCCTTATATTGGTGGTGTGTATGTAAATGCCTCCTTACGTTGCCAGTCGGTATGAAAGTGCCTCTTTATATTGGTGGTCTGTGTGGAAATGCTTCCTTACATTGGTGGTCAGTATGGAAATGCCTCCTTACATTGGTGGTCTGTATGGAAATGTTTAATTACATTGGTGGTCAGTATGAAAATATATCCTTATAATTGTGGTCTGTTTGGAAATGCCTCCTTACTTCAGTGGTCGGTATGGAATTGCCTCCTTATATTGATGGATGGTATAGAATTTCCTTCTTATATTGATGGATAGTATGGAAGTGTCTCCTTATATTGGTATTTGGAAATGCCTCTTTACAATGGTGGTCATTGGGAGAAAGGCCCACTGACTTTAAATTGTTACTAAACCCACATCAGTAAAATCAGTCTGTATATGCAGTAAAGTATGCTTGTTATACTCAAATGCTGTTTGATCCTGACTTCTCTGATCCTCCCCTTCTTCCAATGTCTCCCTCTTATCTCCTGAAAAGACATATCGTGTGGAGACTCTCTGCAAATGCTCACTTTGGTGTGTATTGCTAGAGAGGTTTTTTTTTTCTTGGGAGAGTGTATGTGATCAGCACAGGGCAAATCAGCACTGTCCAGACAGAGGTCAGGGGTTCTCCTCCTAAAGCAGAAAGAAAATTCCTCCTACAAGCTTTAACCTGTGCTCTGCTGGACGCTGATAGAAGTCATAGAACCGCTCTAACTGCTGATGAGAAAAGTTATTTAGCAGTTTATATTTACTAAAATAATTGCATTTCCATGTTGTGTGTACTGTGGGAGACCAGATATAGGGAATGCAGGGCTCGGGGAGACCAGATATAGTGAATGCAGGGTCCAGGGAGACCAGATATAGTGAATGCAGGGCCCGGGGATACCAGATATAGTGAATGCAGGGTCCGGGGAGACCAGATATAGTGAATGCAGGGCTCGGGGATACCAGATATAGTGAATGCAGGGTCCGGGGAGACCAGATATAGTGAATGCAGGGCTCGGGGAGGCCAGATATAGTGAATGCAGGGTCCGGGGAGACCAGATATAGTGAATGCAGGGTCCAGGGAGACCAGATATAGTGAATGCAGGGTCCAGAGAGACCGGATATAGTGAATAAAGGGTCCGGGGAGACCAGATATAGCGAATGCAGGGTCCTGGGGGACCAGATAGAGTGAATGTAGGGTCCTGGGAGACCAGATATAGCGAATGAAGGGCCCTGGGAGACCAGATATAGTGAATGCAGGGTCCAGAGAGACCGGATATAGTGAATGAAGGGTCCTGGGAGACCAGATATAGTGAATGCTGGGTCCAGGGAGACCAGATACAGTGAATGCAGGGTCCTGGGGGACCAGATATAGTGAATGTAGGGTCCTGGGAGACCAGATATAGTGAATGAAGGGTCCAGGGAGACCAGATATAGTGAATGCAGGGTCCGGGGAGACCGTATATAGTCGATGCAGGGCCTGGGGTTTTAGTAACACTTTAAGGTCAGTGAGAAAGATGCCTCCTTATACCTGTGCTCATTGAAAACAAGAATGCCAATTGCACAATCACCATTGTATTAGGACTGAGGTTAGAGAAGATCAGCCTTACATTATGATCAGTGTGGGAAGAATGCTAAATGCCCTTAGAAAGTCAAAGTTAATGTGTATCATGCATTTTAAAGATTCCTGTTAAATTAGAAATTAGGAATGTTGAGGCAATTAGAGGGCCATAGGTCATCTGTAGCCTGACAGCACCTGGCCTGTTTATTGCACAATCACACTTATTTTTAAATTCGCAGTGGTGTGCAAGAACACGTAAAGGTACAAAAAAAAGTGCCTGTGAAACTTTTGTCCACCCCTAGAAGGCTTATGACCTTACTCTGACCCCCCCAAGGCCAAAGACAAGGGCAAGGTTGGAACATAGCCAACATTCCTGGTGGACCTCTCTCCTCATGGTCAGCCAAAGCCAACCAATGATTACTAGGTGAGGAGCTTACGTGAATAGAAACCCCCCAGTTCAGGGAAGGAAGGAATCTAATGGCCACACATCCTCCCTCTAGACTTTAGGGTAGAGCCAAGGATCCACACCTTCCATCCAAGTGAAAAAGACACAGACAGAAGTACAGGGTGACAAAACGTGAAGAAAAAAACCTGATACCCCAGGTGCAGGGGTGGACTGACAAATCATGGGGCCCCCGGGCAATAGGGGATCATGGGGCCCCTGTGTCCTCACCCACACTCAAAACACACCCAAAAAAGCCTATGAAAAGTACCAGGGGAATCTCATGGGGCCCCCTACTGACCCCGGGCCCTCGGGCGGTGCCCGAGTTCCCAAATGGTCAGTCCGCCCCTGCCCAGGTGAAATGACTGGAGAACAAAGGAGACGGAAGTGATATGATGTGATATGATATGATGTGACGTGACGCCACATCCCCAAGTCTTCTCTTCTTTGTTTTACTGCTTGCTAGCATCCTTGTTCAGGTGTCCATGACAAGGTCACTTTTAATTGGATGCCCAGCAGCAGGGTTCTCTCAGGATCCAAAAGAGAACAAAGTCATCATGGGGTCCAGCGATTTCGGGCTTCTTTCACACAGCTGGATTTGCTAGCCCCTGCACATGAAATAAGCATCGACGAGGGACCTGGAAGGGGGACTTAAGGTGAATAAAGTGATTCTAAAGATGTGTTTATCTTAATGCAGTCCCTGAATTAGGGGAAAAAATTTCTCGCTGTTATATCGTCACCCACCTCACCCCCACCCTAAATACCTATTTTGATCTAATGCTGTGCCTGTCTGCAGTGGTGCTCTCCCCTCTTCCTCTTCTCACAGGAAATGGAGGCAGCAGGGGGAGCCAAAAAAACGCTGTGCATACCTATGGATGTACACAGCCTGGCTCAGGAATGAGCCCAAAGGTGCGCCCCCATAGAAAGCATCTGCCTATGCTGGCACACAGAGAAGAAGAGGAGGAGAAGAGGTAAAGAGCACTGGCAGGGGACCCCAAAAGAGTATGTTTGGGGTTGCTTTGTGCAATACCATTTCACAAAGCAGGTAAGTATAACATGTTTGTTATTTTCCTAAAAATATATAAACTGCTTTTCTCTTTAGTAGAGGCAAAAATTGTCTAGTAGGAAGGGTTAAAGGGGGGTGGGAGAGAGAGATGGGAGAAAATAGCTTTAACCCTGAAATGGGTCATTAACAATCCTAATTGCGCATGAAGGTCTCCATTCATCTATTTGGTGTCCTAGGTGTGTAACCCTGGCTGGTAACCAGATTGACAGCAAAAGCCATCAGCAGTCTCATAGTACTGTAGATGTCAGAGCAGTGATGACATTATGCCATCAGAGAGCAAAGCTTTTATTGTAGATTTGCACTGTGGATGGATTTCGCTAAATAGGGATTAGCATTCCTGTTTTGACAGATATCAGCAGAGATGATGGCTAAAGAGGCAAAACAAGAATGTGCTTCACAGTCCACCAATGTTACATTATCGTGGTATTTTGTGGTTAATGCACCCATTCTTAAGCTGGCTGTATGTTATGTATACCCTGTGGGCTGAACTAAAGAATCGAGCAGGTTCCTCCATCCTTGCTAACAGTGAAGCTGGATGAATCCCCCTCTTGGGCTTTTGTATTCTGACCACCGGCAGCTGTGAGAATACCCAAGGAAAGGACTGTATCTGATTAGATGTAGCCACTGTTCAGCTGACAGTTTTTCACACGGCTCCTTCAATTGCTCGATTGAATAATGGTGAAGACTTAACCTTGTGGAGGGTAGCAATTTTCATTTGATTTTGTGTGTCGCCAACAGGGGCGGACTGACAACTCATGGGGACCCCGGGCAATAGGGGATCATGGGGCCCCTGTGTCCTTGCCCAAACTCAAAAAAGCCTATGAAAAAAGGTACCAGGGGCATCTCATGGGGCACCCTACTGACCCTGGGCCCTCGGGCAGTGCCCGGGTTTCCAAATGGTCAGTCCGCCCCTGGTTGCCCAGGACCAGCCCATCCACTTGCACAGGCTGCTGTATGAAGGTTTGATGCCTGAAAAGACGCTCCTGCTCCTTTTTGGGCAACAAGCTTATGCGATTTGGCCACAGTTACCATTCAATCCTGTAGTACGACAATCGCAGCAGAATCGCATCACGTTTGGGGTGTCACTAAGGGATTATGGCACCCAAACGTCTGTTGCATGATGTGCAGTGATTGCCACACGATTTGAAATCATAGGCAGAATCACAGCAAGATGTCAACGAGGCCTTACCCTAGGTTCACACCCAGGGGCGGACTGACAACTCATGGGGCCCCCGGGCAATAGGGGATCATGGGGCCCCTGTGTCCTTGCCCAAACTCAAAAAAGCCTATGAAAAAAGGTACCAGGGGCATCTCATGGGGCCCCCTACTGACCCCGGGCCCTCGGGCAGTGCCCGGGTTTCCAAATGGTCAGTCCGCCCCTGGTTGCCCAGGACCAGCCCATCCACTTGCACAGGCTGCTGTACGAAGGTTTGATGCCTGAAAAGACGCTCCTGCTCCTTTTTGGGCAACAAGCTTTATGCGATTTGGCCACAGTTACCATTCAATCCTGTAGTACGACAATCGCAGCAGAATCGCATCACGTTTGGGGTGTCACTAAGGGATTATGGCACCCAAACGTTTGTTGCATGATGTGCAGTGATTGCCACACGATTTGAAATCATGGGCAGAATCACAGCAAGATGTCAACGAGGCCTTACCCTAGGTTCACACCCAGGGGCGGACTGACAACTCATGGGGCCCCCGGGCAATAGGGGATCATGGGGCCCCTGTGTCCTTGCCCAAACTCAAAAAAAAGCCTATGAAAAAGGTACCAGGGGCATCTCATGGGGCCCCCTACTGAACCCAGGCCCTGGGGCAGTGCCCGAGTTTCCAAATGGTCAGTCCGCCCCTGTTCACACCTGAGTTCTCCACGTTTTGTACAAACACCCTACAGTCCATTTAACATGATTTCCTATGGGACAGGTTCACATCTCTGCGTTTTCACCTGGTGCGTATATTGGAAAGGGTCAGGGAATTTTTTTAACACAAAAAGTAGCGTTTTTGGTTCTATAGACTTCAATGGAAATGCGGCAGCATAGCATGTAGTGCGTTTTTTATGCATTTTGCATTTTAAATCTGCCCAACAACAAGAAAAAAAAAACAAAAAACGCTGCAAAAACATATGTACAAAAATGCAAAACGCAATGCAGACACGGATCAAGCGCAAACTGCATAGCTGTGAACCTAGCCTTATGCCTCGTACACGCTATAAGAAAATCGGCCAATAATTGGATCGTCAGTACACAGCTTTTGAGAGCCGATCATGACAATTCGTACAACAATATCCGAAGGGAAAAGCGCAAAAATGTTTCTCGTAAGAAACCAGATTGCACGATTTACGTTTAATCAGTACAGTAGTCGTCTAAAAATACAATACAAATACAATGCAATACATGGCATCACTTTCGAATTTCTTTTCTTTCATAGGAAAATTTTCGTATCTTTAGTAACCTTTTCCCCTTTCGATGTGAGACTAGCAGGCAAAAAAAAAATGGCCGATCGTTCGTCCGATATTCTCATCCTGTGTACGGGGCATAAGGCTTATTCACACTTGATCGTTTTCATGCATCTAAACCCATATATTTTAATTTTTAAGTGAAAATGCATGTCAAGAAGAAATCCCCTTGTTTCCTATATGGCTGGTTCACATCTATTCGCTGCAGTTTGATGTGAAAAGGAAATCCAGCTTCAATATGCCATCAGCCTAGTAAATATTATTATCAGCTCATATTTAATAAATTAGAAAAAAACATTGTTTTACTTATAAGTTGCAATTGTTAAAAAGATAGTAGTAGCCACATGTCTCAAAGGCTGCAGGTTTGATTGCTCTCGCCCGGTCTTTTCAGAACTCTCTGATTAGTTTTGGAACATAGATGTGGAGTAATGGTAATGGCCAGTATATTTATGTATACAGTTCCAGCCAATCTTTGTGAGCCCTGTGCAGGTGGCTGCTGGGAAATGGATATAAATAGTTTAAGACCCGGAGCAGACTTGTCTTGTCCTGGAGAGGGGAAGTCCAGCCTAGAGAGCATGCTGTCCTCCTGAGCATGTGCTTCTGCTTTCTGCTGCTCATCAAGGTCCCAGTTGGCCTGGGGACCCATCCTACAGTTACTTTTCTGAAGCAGACTAATGCAGGCCATAGATGGGGAGAAAATCGGCCGATTTTTCTTTAAAAAAAAAAACGGAAAATTGGTCGTTCAAGCGGCCGACGTTACCAGGAATGGTAAAAAAAATCGTCCGATTTTCATCCCGTCTACAGCCGGCAAAAAGTGTCTCTGCAGAGAACGCCGCTTTTTCTTTGACAGTTCTTTGACATTTATAGCGGTTGCAACAATGTATCTATTTGTATCCATTTCAGATACAGATGTTTTTATTCGGAAACAAATAGATACATTGTTGCAACCGCTATAAATGACAAAGCACTGTCAAAGAAATAGCGGAGCTCTCTGCAGGGACACTTTTTTCCGGACTTTAATGCTTCTTATTCTTCATCCTCTTCTTCTTCCTCTTCTTCATCCTCTTCTTCTTCATCTTCTTCATCCTCCTCTTCTTCCTCTTCTTC